AAACTGCCTCCACAGGGCATTACTTCCACGAGGCTGATCCGGTTGATGGTGGTGTTTGTCACTCGATGACATGAGTGTCCTGTCCTATCGTGCGTGGCCCTTATCAGTAATAAACGCAGGCAGTAAGCTCGGGAAAGTGCTTTGACCTGATAGCAGTTCCCTGCGTGATGGGAACTTCAAATTACATTTAAAATAAATGTTTCAGCCCAGCCCGTGGCTCAAAGGGGTCAGTGGGGTCGTGCCTTCAACCTTGCCGTGTGGACTGCAGATGCCTTTTTAGGGAGAGATGATACTTTTAAGTGAAGAAGGAGGCTCACAGCGTCACCGTCTGGTCTGGGGAGGGGAGAGGCATGGAAGCAAGAGCTCCCTGGTAAACCCACGGCTGACGGCCCTCCTGAGGGGTCCAGATCTGCGGAGTGTGGGCTGAAACGTCCCCACAAAACCATAAACCTAAGGGATTTCAAAACTATCCAGTTAGTGTCCTGGCCAGACCATTACTAAGGCAGGTAGTAATGCTCTAAAAAGAAGTTCATTTTTCCTTAGAAATTTTAAAGCAATAGTGCAGAGCATGGACAAAATATAGAATTTCTGTTATTAATTTAGAAGCTATAATCAACATAAAGGACTAATTTAAAGGCCATGCAGTGACTCCCCCAGAGATTTCTGCTTCTCTTTGCATCGTGCCTGCCTCTCTGGGGACACCTAGAGAGTCCTGTGGCAGCGCGAGGAGGGTGACATGGCAGGAGGTAGGGGAGGGTGCGTGTCCAGACGTGAGAGCTCAGGGCTCGGGGTCAGGCGGCGGCCACAGGGACACGGAGGGACTCTGCCTGGGACCAAGCAGAACAAGCCATGATTGAAGAGTCAACTGAGCCCCTTCCTCAGGCAGCAGGACTGGTGTGTCTCCTCCTGGGGGGCGTGATCACCAGACTTGCTCTCAGACTGAACCACTTTCGAGTGATCCCTGTTTCTGTCACAAACAGATAGGTCTGGCCTTCTTGTGTTAAGCTCCAGAGCAGCAGTGGAGGTGGACCTTGCCACCTTACGGTCCAGGCGTGTGCGTGGCCTGGCTCCCCCAGCCCTGTCGTTCTGAAGCCAGTGGCAGCTCTGGCCCTGCTCTGGCTCCCCAACTGCCGCTCGTGCAACAGCCTAATCTGAGCCAGACGTCGTTCAACCTGTGTCTCAGGTCAGGACGATGTGGCTCGGACCCCGGCCTCGCGGAGGGCGGCAGGCAGACCCCCGTGGGCGAGCTGAGCTGCAGGCTGAAGGGACCAGGAAAACTTCAGCCACAGCCACGAGCCACGCTGCCTCAGGCGCGGTGCAGGGAGATGCCAACCGCAGGTGAACGGTTCCCTCCGAGGTGTCCAGAGCCCATCAGCGCAGGTGGGCCTCGGGCCACACACACACGGCTTGCTTCCAACATCTTAATTCCAGAAACCCAAGCACATTAACGGGGGCAAAGCGAAGATGTGGGACGGGGGCACCAGCACTGCCGCCCCAGGGGTGACATGGGACGGTCCCGTCCCCCTGCTTCCCGACCTGCAGCCCCACCCACGGGGAAGCTCTTGCAGCCCCGCGGGCCCTAACCGCCCACATCCCAGCCTCCAGAGCTGTTTTTGTCCCTCCGGGTCCCCGCCCACGGCTCCACGCTGACCGGGGCTCCCGTCCTGACGCCTCCCTACCTCTTGTCACCGCTCAGCTCCGCTGGCCTGTGAGCCCCCGGAAGTCGGGCCCTGGTTGCATCTGGCCGGCGTACCCGGCATCCAGCGCAGTGTTGGACGCGTGGTTTGCTGAGGAGGTTAGCGACGAGGGCTGACAGTCACCCAGACACGTCTGCCGAGAGCTGCCAGGTTGGTGCCTCTCTGAGGCCCAGAGAGGTTTGGTGGTTTGCCCAAGGTCACACAGCCAGTAACAGCTGCAGCCGGGACTCAGGGTCAGGCATCGCCAAGACTCCAGGATGTGAGCACATGGGAGTCTCCCGGAAGCTAAGAAAGAATCGACGTGAAATGTCTTACCTTCTCATTGCAGCCTCTGGAGGAACAGGTGCATCCTGGGCCAGGTTCTAGGAGGAGCTGCCTCGCAGCCTGGGTGGCCTGGTGGGCGTGTCCCGGGCAGTTTTTTGGAGGCAGGGCCTCCCCTAATGTCTCCTCACGGCCCTCGGAACGCACCTCTGCTGGTGGCTCACGGGAGGTTGGGGCACGGGGGCTGCTGTGCCCCAGGTGTGTCACACCCCCTCCCACCCAGCCACCGGGGCTGGACAGGACCCCCCCAGGCCTCCCAGGAGCAGTGCTTCCACCGTGGGGGTCCCACCACCGCCTGACCCTTCCAGAGACCCTGGCTTCACCACCTCTCAGGTAGTCTAGAGGTAGAAATGGGACTACGGTCGGTTGGAGGTCAGGCGTCCCACCTCAGCAGGTGCACCTATTTTTATTTGCAGATGGAAGCACGTGGTGAAGGCCTGACGCACCCCCCCCACCCCCCCGGGGTCCCTGTGCAGCCCGGGAACCTCCCCTGTGCACAGGCAAAGCACCGTCACCCGGGCTGCCAGCCTCCGGACTCCTCTCTCCAGTCCAGGCCCCGATGTCCAGCATTGTTTGCTGTTGGAAATGGGGGTGACGGGTTTTTCTTGGATCTTTACTGCAGCTTTTATTTTTAAAAAACAAAGACCCACAAGGGGAATCCGCTCTCAGCAGCAGCGGGAAGAGTGCTGGGCCTGAGTCACAGGTTCAGTCCCCGGGGACCACCGGGCGCCTGTGAGGCCTTCACCGAGCCTGCAAGTCAGTCCTAATCGTCTGCCAGATGAGGAGGCCTGAGCGGACGCTCTGTGGGCACCTCCACCTCGAAAATTCCTGCTTCCTTTAGAAATATCTTTGAACTCGCCAAGCCGTCGAGAATTTGTTCTGGTTTAAAGAATCATTCTTACCTTCACTGCACCAGTACCTCTACCGTCGCACTGATTGACTATGGGACCTCGTGGCAGGCACCGCACCGGGCATCTCACACACATGAACCCTTTTCATCTTCTGTGCTGTCCTGTTCCTTCCATTTTTAAGTGACAGCACTCAGGCTTGGGGGCCTTGAGCGCCTGACCCAGGTTCACCCCGCCCAGGGCACTCCACTCTCCACGGGGACCGGAGAGGGATGGGGATCCAGGCCTGGCCGTCACTCTTCATCCCTGGCACCTCCACGGGCAGACACCCAGCTGCTCCAATGTTTCGCTTTTCAGAAGGTGAATCACAGACATCTCACATCTTCACCAGAGAAGCCGGTTCTTGGAGGACGTTTTCTGAGCTCTCTCAGCCTGAGCTCTTCGGGCCTGTTCTTCTGGGTGAACTAAAGGAAATTACTGCAGAAGCATTTTTTGGTGGGCACTCCCAGAATCAAGTGATGTTCCACATGCGGAAGCGGGAATCAGTGAGACACGGACTTGGTTCCTAGTATCATCTGCCTTATTACAATCACCCGACGTGTCTGGGTTTCTTTTTGTTTTTAAGACTCTGAGGAAACGTGGGTGGAATTTCAAACATTTGTTGTTTAGAAGCCGTGTGAAATTCCTGAGCCCTGGGCAGGGAGACCCCACCCTCACCGCTGGCCCTGTTTTCTTCCAGTTCGTCTCTTCCGCCGCCTCCTCCAGGTGCCCACACTGATCCCCGTCGCCAGGTGCTCTAGCGGGGCTGGGGGTTCACATCCAGCCGGCCCCCCTCAAAGTGCCTGAGCCGTCCTCCGACCTGGGGAGGAGCCGGCACCGCGTCCCCGGGGAGAGCGAGACCTCAGCGGCCTCACGACGACCCTTAGTGCCCAGTAAGCGGCAGCCGCGTGAGAGGACAGGAAGCGGGGACCAGCCCCATGGCCGAGGCCGTGCCCGCGGGAGTTGAGCGGCCTGTGGCGCGCGGCGCTGGTTGGGCGAGCAGGCTGCGGCCCCCTGATGGCACCAGGTGAAAAGCAAGGGGCGTGTGGGGCCTCAGCCCTCCAACGAGCCCTTTCGCCCCTGAGCAAGTTTTCAACTCTTGGGCTCGGATGCTCTTATAAACTTCTTCTCGACGTCGTTTTGTTTGACGGCTCGGGTGACGGTGACGTGTTCACTGGGCAGAGGCTGGGAGTCCCCGAATCGTGACTGTTGAATTCTCCCCAAGGGCGCTTGGCCGCTCAGAAGTGGGGGGAGCAGGGCGCCCGGCTGAGTCTCCCGGGGGCTGCGTGACGGCCGAGACCCGAGTCTGGCGGCTGCAGGGCCACAGGCACGGAGGGGCCTCCCCGGCCAGGCTGGTCACGCATCCCTGTACGAGGCAGCCCGAGACTCCGTACTGACCCAGCCGAGCTCTGTCAGGTGGGGGCTCGTCCGTCAGCGCGAGCCCCGTGTCCGGTGTCCGCCCAGGGGGCCGCGTTCCCCATCCGCCCTGCACTTTCCCTGTCGTCTGCGCTTCTCTGGATTCCCTCCCGTGTGGGCTTTCCAGTCGGAGCGATGTTTTGAGAACAAGGAGAACCAAACAGAGGGTTTTTTTCTGCAAACATCCTGAGCCTGGTACCCTTTTCTGTATTTCAGTCCACAGTGTAAAAACCCTTCCCCCCCGCCTGGGCCCACGTTCTGATGAGGAAGGGGCCTGAGTTAGTGCACATGACACGCCATTCTGAGGGTCCAGGGAGGCCGGAGTTGGCCCAGCGGCCCCTTCTGAATCTGTGCGTGTCTATCTGTGTGTGTGTGCCTATCTGTGTGTGTCTGTGTATCTGTTTATGTCTGTGTGTGTCTATGTGTGTCTCTGTGTACGGGTGTATGTATCTGCGTGTGTCTATAGCGTATCTACCTGTGTGTCTCTGTGTGGTGTGTGTGTATCTGTGTACATCTGTGTGTATATCTGTGTCGGGGGTGTGTGTGTCTACTGCGTATGTGCCCGTGTGTGTCTCTGTGTGGTGTGTGTACATCTGTGCGTGGTCACGGGTGGATCCCGTCGGCCCTGGCCCTGGGAACGCAGGTAGGGAGGCTCTGACCGGCGCCCGCTGTCTTGCAGGAGCTGTGCCGGCAGCGCATGGCCGCGCGCCCGTCCGAGCGCCCGGAGACCGCGCACACGTCCCGCGTCAGCAGCGTGTCCTCCCAGTTCAGTGACGGGCCGATGCCCAGCCCCTCCGCGCGGGGCAGCACCTCGTCCTGGTCGGAGGAGCCCGTGCAGCCCAACATGGACATCTCCACCGGCCACATGGTCCTGGTAAGGCCTGCACCCTCTGCGCGGGGTTGGGAGGGAGTGCCTGTGAGAGGCTTGGGGGCCCAGCTCCCTAGCATGCGGCCCAAGGCGGCAGGAGGAGGGCACCCCATGTCCAGCCCCTCTGCCCAGGGCCCCCCGAGGGAGCGTCGTCCCGGCTCTGCACAGAACCCTCGGCCCCCACCCTGGAAATGCGCACGGGTGAGCGCCGACCGTGTGCACCCGACTCCAGACACAGTCGTCTCCTCCCTCCAGCCCCCAGCTCACTGAGCAGCCTTCGGGTGAACGCATGTCGCTCACAGGCTGCTTCTCGTTAAACGTGACGCGGGCGGGGTCAGCTGCTTCGTACGCCCTTCAGAGGCCCTGTCCGGTGCAGAAGCCTCCTGGCAGGGAGCCCCCTCCCCGGGATGAACCCGCCCCCTGCCCATCCTGGAGCACGTGGTGCTCGATTACTGTCCAAGTTTTATTAAGAGGGTTTGTTCACAACTCAGCGCTTCTTGCCGTGTGGACGAGTGCTGATGGCTGCGTGGACACCGCCCTCCCAGGTCTCCAGGCCACAGGCCTCTCTCTCCCCGTTCAGTTACCGTCACACTGGCCGTAGTCTCTCCTACTGGGGATGGGGCTTCGGGTGACGAAGGGCAGAGCCTGAGTCACTGACCCCCGGAGCATCCGGGCTCTCGTGGATCAGGGGAGAGTTTCCGCTGCACAGCTAACTTCCCAGGAAGGGGAAGGGACTGGGAAGGCCAGTGTCTTGGTCCCTTCTGGCGGCTTGAACAGACACTTAATGAACTCTCTGTCTGGAGGCTGGAAGGCTAAGATGGAGGCCCAGCGGGTCTGGGGTCTGGTGGGAGCCCGAGTCCTGGCTCACAGACGGCAGCTTCTCGCCATGTCCTCACGTGTGGGAGGGGCAGCGAGCTCTGTGGGGTCTCATTAGGGCACTGACCCCGTCATGAGGGCCCTACCTCGTGACACCATCACCTTGGGGGTTAGGATTCCACACGAGAATGTGGGAGGACACAGACAGTCACCCCAGAGCAGCTGGGAAACCACGTTTGCACTGAAGAGCCTCAGTGTGGAGCCCGGAGGTGGGTCTGGGGACGCCCCCAGGACGTTGGGGGGTGGAGACGCCCACTCCCGGGATGTCCGATCCGGGGGCGGGAGGCACAGGTGCCAGACGCGGGGACTGAGGGGCACCTCAAAGCAGAGGTAACAGACGAGGGGAGCCGGAGTCGAGAGGTTCAGGGCGGCCGATCAGTGCGGCTGAGCTGACGCCTCCCTCTGCCTCCTCCCCACGCGGACGTGGACGGAGGGCCCGGGCTGGGGGCACACGGCGCCCCCATGGCTCTACCGTGGTCGCGTGCGGCTGGGGCCTGAGTCCCAGGGTTCGCGGTTCCCGGAGGAGACGGCGCATCGCTCAGGTCGCAGACGTGTGCTGCCATCCTACTGTGCGCCCACAGCCAGGAACTCGGAAGGCACCTCTTCTCCGGACAAATAAGTTATGTTAGTTTAGAGCCGACTTTTTAGAGAACGTTTCAACGTGCGTCGCTTTTAGAAAAGGAAACTCCACCGGTCTCATTCAGATTTCTGATGAGATCCAGTTTTGGGGCCAGCACACAGCCAGGAGCGTTTGTCTGACAGGTTGGGGGCGGCGAGATGCGTCTCGAGAGCCTTCATCACATTCTGGTGTCTTCCTATGTCAAGACGACTGAGCTACAGCTCGACGGTACCTCGCCTCCAAATGGGACGCGAACACATTGTAGTTTTCGTCGTAAACTGTGTTTTGTGGTACCCGTGTGGGATGGCAGATGTGACAGGGAGCCTGGTGGTGGCCTCTCAGCTGAAGTCCCCGCGCTACAGAGCTGACCCGCCGTCCGCAGGCCACCCCGCGGCCGAGCCTAACGCGAGGCGTCCCCCGGGCGATGGCGGCGACAGTTTCCAAACCCCCGTCCACCGCCGACCAACCCAGAAACCTGAGGGCGTTTGGCCGCCGCCCGGACTCAAGGCTGCTTCTCGTTAACCGACCGACGCTTCATTTGAATTGGGGTCACCGGCTACTCCTCCCGGCTCTGAGTGGGGAGCAGGTGCCGGGCACCGGGGAGGGGGTCCAGCCCAGCCACGGGGACCCCACCGTGCACGCCCCAGCGTCCGGCCCTCACGCCCCAGTCCTGTTTTCTGCCCTCTCACCCACTTACAGAGGGGTTTTCTCGGCCCCACCGTCGTCTTCGGCCCCCCCGTACGGGACCCCGAGGTGTGGAGACGTGGCAGAAGGGAGCCCCACTTGGCATTTTTACACCTTCTCATCCATGAAAGCAAGTAAAATGGCTCGTCTTTTAGGCTCCGAAATGGCTGCCCTTTCTCACGGGAAGGGCCATGGGACACATTCAACCAGACCAGAGCCACGTTCACAGGACCTGTCTTGTCACTGGCACGTGGATGCTGGCTTCCCATCTGCAAGGGCTACAGCGAAGCCGCCTGTGCCGGACCTCAGGACGCACGGGAGCCCCGACCTCCCGACTCATGAAGGCCACAGGGAGACCGGCGTGTGGTGCTCAGCCATCGGCCCTCCGTCAGGACCGTCCCGGTCGTCAGACAGCCGCCAAGGCCGTCTCCCTGAAGCACGCGCTGAGGTCTCAGAGGCCCGACATAAGTTATGCAAAGTCCAGGCAGGTCCCAGGAACCCGCCGTCCTGATGCTTAGCTGCTCTCGTGAACGTGACACAGATGTGACATTTCAAATTAAAGACGTGGTGGGACCAACCGCCAAGCTACTCACGTTTGGACAACTGGGTGGAAGCGAGGAGTAGCTCAGAGGCCAGTGTGCAGACCTGGAATGTTCTCCTTGGCAGAGGATGGAGGTGCCTTGGGAGGAACGAGCGGCGTAGGAAGCCGAGAAGCCAGATCCTGACCTGTCGCTGGAGGGCTGTCGGGGGCTGGCCTGGAGGCGCCCTGAGCCCCGAGCGCCTTCCCCCGCTCGCTGTCGCTCCGCCCACTGCAGTGTGATGTTGGTGTACGTGCTGTGGCTTCGCGCTGGGAGCCGTGGTTCAGGACTCTCGGAACAGACGCTTCTCCTAGGGGTGAGCAGAATTCGCCCTCCCCTGGAAAGGAGGCAGGGCTTTCCGTGGAAGAACGAAGGTCTCCGGCTGGCGGGAGGTCGCAGGCCGCTGTGCAGATGACAAAGCCACTGCCGCCAGCCCAGCTGCTCCGGGCGGTCTTCGCGGCGGAGGAGGCCGAGCGTAGCTGAACCGCAGGGAGGGACCTAATTACCGCTGAGCCAGCGGTCCCAGCAGGTGGACGAGACACAGAGGAAGGGGCCAGGGAAGCAAGTGTTGACTGAGGCCTAGAGGCACTGAGGTCTCAGGGACACGAGTGTCGGCCGGTGCCGGGAAGTGGGGAGGGGGAGGTCCTGGCAGCTGCCCAGTGGACACATGGGAAGGGGCAGGGCCGGCCGTCGAGACCCCCTCCTCCCAGGAGCCACGTCCTCCTGCCGAGACCAGCACGGCCTCCGAGCTGCCGGGGCCCAAGGGGTCGATCTGGAGGTGGGAGCATGCCGCTGATGGCGCGGACACTGCGGCCCCAGAAACCGGGGTGAAGCTGGAAGCTCAGCGGTTTCCTGGTCCCACGTCCCCGACAAATCCCTCCACCTCCATTTTCTCATCCCCAGGACGGGCTTAGTAATAGCGCCTCCTTCGAGGTCCCTGTGAGGGTTAAACGAGACAGAGTGTGAGATGCTGCACCTGTGGAACCTACAGTTGTAATGATGAAGGCTGAAAGGATCGTGGCAAAAAAATGGAACCAGTTCTCCTTTGATGAAACTAAGGGGAAAAGGGCCTCCACAGGGAAAATGTCACATGCCCTGGAAACTGCAGCCCCGGGCACACGGTGACGGTGCTTTGGGTGCATTTGCAAGCCCAGGAAGGGGGTGCCCGGGAGGCTGTGCCTGACAGGCTCCCCGAGCCATGCGGCGCCCAGGCCTGGGGTGAGGTAGGAGCCCCCGGACGTTTGCAGAAGGAACGACGGCACCGGGAGAGGAGGGAGACGGGAAGGGAGACACCCTCAGCTGTGAACCTGGTCGGCTTCTGAAGACACGTTTTCCAAGGCAACGTGGCCAGGCCTGACCAGGCTCAGAGCAGAGCTCTGGAAATAGGTGGCCTCGTTCCAGGGACTCCATGGAATTATTGTCAACACTGTCGTGTTTTGCATAAGCTGAGTGGTGGGGCTCAGCTTCATGAGAACTGCCGTCCGTCCTTTTGAAAGGTAAAGGATCACGTTTGAACCTGTCCCTCGAAAAGACCTGTTTCCAGAGCACATTTGTTCTCAGAGGCTGGCGTGGCAGCATGGCAGCGTTGTGGGTGGTGGCAAGAGCAGGTGTCCGTCCTGGTTCCTGGTTCCTCGGAAGCCAGCCGCTGGTCACAGGGGCAGTGCGCGGCACGCAGCTGTGTAGACGGAGGGGCCACGCCTTCATGCAAGTTGAAGGTGAGGGTACGGACTGGATCTTTGCATCCCCTTTAGTCTTGCAAAGTACGATACAACAGGAATGAGCGTCACGGAGCGTTTACGTAACAGCACTGTCCTAAGAAACCATGAGATAGGAACTGGTTTCAGCCCATTTCACAGATGAAGACAAGAAAACCAAGAGCAGTGATGTAAACGCCTGAAAAATGGGAAGTTACCACGTTGCAAAATGTGACCAAGCCGCCCCGTCGTCACAGAAGGGAGGAAACTTACGGAAGCAGAAGGGTTTGGTGACAGACAGCTGCCCTGGACCTGCGCGGGGTGAAGGATGCCGTGTCCACAAAGGAGACAGGCTACCTCCGACCTCACAGCCCAACCCGCTGGGCTCGTGGCCTCTCCACGGTGTCCGCCTCCTGCGCTCCTTGATCGGTGGACGTTTGCACTGAGTGGACGCTCTCGTTTTATCTGGCGTCAGCCTCCTTAGCTGGTACTTTTATACCCATGGGTATAGTAAGTTAAATGCTTGACCAGGAAGCAACGTGTCTTCCCAGAGGC